CTCTGAAACCACTGTTTTTGGATGCTAGACCCCCATATCAAACACCTTTTGGGCGCCATCTAGCCTAAAGCCACTACAGCTGATTGCACGGTTGCCTCCCGATCGTTTCTGGATCCGTGAGCCGGAGCGTGGTGTTGAAGTCGCACATCGGCCGCAATGGCCTTCCGGTGGTTCAACCTGATCCGTTAAGAGAGGTGGTTTCGATGTGATCCTTGGGGAGAGGACATTTGGTCCATTGCCTCTAGGCCTTGTCACACCGGTTTTGCTTGTTGTATTTATATGCATCCGTTTTGCTTCTTGGGGGTGAAAATGGGTTCATCCGACCTGGTCGCCAGACAGTCCAGTATCTTGAAAGAGCATGGTGGCAACTCAGCATGCTAGATGATTAGGACACTTTTTTTTATCCGGCATTGCGCCCCCGCTCACCGTTGTTCAGTGTGTGTAGAGGGCGTTTACGCGTTTGACGGCATCGCACCGGAACTCCGTCGGAGGGTCGCCCAAACGAGGGTCGATTGGTACGAACGTGTAGTGACATATAAGGCAGACTGGCTGGCCCTTAACGTGTAGTGACATATAGCTGTGATGTGTGTTCCTTCTTCGACCCTTTGGAGGGCAATGATCGACATGGCTCACGTGAATGACCCTTTGGAGGGCAATGCGTCGAAACCTTTGGATCGTTGTGAAACGACTTCTCAACAGTTCAGCAGCTGAGCAGGAAGTCTTAAGCCTCGTCAGCGAGCTCAGCTGGCTTTGCAGAGCTCCGCAGTGGGTAAGGAAGGTAGATATTAGCTAATCATGTAAGATTTGCGATGTTGTGGTTGGTTGTGACATGTTGTAACTATGGCAAACCATTTTTCTCGATAGTGCATCAGAATCAAAACCAATCGTTTGTTGGACTTTGGTGGGTGTTGTTGCTGACCACCAGCTAGCGCCGACTGTCATCGATGCCTGGTGCCTGTTGAGACTGGCGCATGGGGTTTGACCACGCAACTGGATGTTTTTGGATGTCGGCTTCAGGTCCACTTGTGTGAGAGCGTGTGACGGGGGGTATCAAAGTCGTAGAGGTCGTAGAGGTGCATGGAAAGTTCACAAGCTGAGTCACTCACTAAGCAAGGCGCACTTGATCCTCTTCCACATGAATGAGGGATCGCCTGGGTGCTCAGGGCTGCACCAAGGAATCCTAAAGAAATAAGTCGTAACAGTGGCGAAGAGAATTGGTCAATGACCTTTTGCATTAATACATTTTTGAGTATTTGAGTATGGTAGGACTTGGATGGACTTGGTAGGATGCGCTATTTCACGGAACAAATCGTGCATCACTTGCAGTTCGTGGGAACTACTTGGTTTGGCTTGAGGCAGCAAACAGGCTAAAGGTTTTGGCAGCCAGCTCAGGTGCTTCCCCGTAGATGTGGCATTTTCAAATCACCACGTTCCGATGTGGAACGGAAAACTGCCAAGGTCCCTCAACGGTCAAGGCATTCGACGGTCGCATCATTCTGTACGGTCAATGCATTGGTCGTGTTCCTGAAGATCGGTACGTGGTGGAACTTCCAAAGCGTTGACCCAGAAATTCCAGGAACACAAGGAACCTGGTCGTTTTCAGGGGGGGCCGCCATCCATTTTGTTTTCACATCCCTCCTTCCAGGCCTTCCAGGGTCCCTCTTTTTGCCTTGGAGACACTCTCCACGATTCTCCGCGTGTTTGCACAAACCCCTTAGCAGCGCCCAGGGGCTGCTTTGCCAGTCCTAGCCTCTCAGTGGACTCTTGCTGTCGTCTCTTGGGCTCGGTTTATGGGCGAAGCGTGGAGCCTTGCGCCTTGCGGAGCCTCGCCTCTTGTGCGGGTTCCCCGGGACATGATCCTTGAGCAATAGAGAGAGTAGAGAGAGGGGCACGAATTAGTATACAGCTCTTTTGATTCCCAAATGGGATCCTTTTGGTGTTTGAACCCTTTTTTGTGTTTTTTCTACCCCACATACTTTGATCCCTCATACAGTGAAGTATGTCGTTGCTTTATCAGCCTCTTATGATAGGGCAGCATTGGGCAGCAATTTGGTTTGACTTACTTTACGATGCATGTCATGCCAACTGCACAAGGAGTTGATTGGTCACTGAGTCATTGCAGGAAAGCAAAGATATTTTGAATTGATGTTTTGTTTAAGCGGCAGTAAACCATAAAAAGCGTTGTGACATCGTCGGTTTTTTCCTTCGCGGCACCCTGTGCCACCAACGCTGCGATCGCTTTTGGAGTCATCCATTTGTTAGCCCAGTGATTGGGCGGACCAGCGATGCCAATGAGGCTCGGGCGCGGTGGGTGGCCACAGCTGCTGGGACCAAGCCTTCTCGGAACAGCTCTGCTGTGGCCGGAGGCTCCCAGCTGAGCGCGGCGTGGCGGCGGCGGCCCACGCAACTATAACGACGGTGTCGTTTCGGCGGTCGGACGCCGGGGAGGTGAGCAAAGAAGAGGTCGGTGCACTTTGCGGTTGTTGATATTCTTGACTGTTCTTGATGTATGTTTGGTGTGAAGAGGTTGCTTGGTGTGTTGGGGGGCCATTTTGGACCTATCCAAAGGTGTTTCTCGCAGGCTTGTAGTTTTCTCAAGCGGGCAAAAGCAAATGAGATGAGGGGAGTGGTGTTTTTTTTGGTGTCATGTTCCTTCTCACCTTCGGAAGCATTACTTGGGACATTGAGGAACATATTACAGTGGTTTCAGAGTAGATGGCACAGACCTTAAATGTCCTTTAGATGGTGTTCCATATAAACCACCTCTTGGGGTCTGTGCCATCTACTCTCAATCCACTATACTCATTCACCAGATGCCATTTGGAAGAGAACAGGAAACCGAACCGCAAAACCCACCCATCTTTGTGCACCACCCACTCGCCCACGTCCGTCATCGATGTCGCTGGTGATTTGGTGGTCATTGACCGGAGTCTTCCTGTGTCTTGATGGTGCAAGTTGAGAAGATTTTATGCAGTTTTTAGTGTCCACCACGTCACCGACACATCCACCATGTCACCGACACTCTTTGGGCCAACATGGTGACGAATGACAAGCAGACGAGATGTTGCTTTTCGACCAGCTACGTCGACGTGTCCTTCACTAAGGATTGTGCTGCAGTTGTTGGGTTCCCCTTTGTCCCCCAACAAGCCTGTGGACATTACCTTTCCGCGGACTGCTGAATCCACAATTGAGCTTGTGGATGCCTATGGAGCTGAAGGTCAAAGGGAGTACAACTGGTACGAAGCTAAGCCCACCCGAGCTGCACCCTTTTTCATTTTGGTGGGGCTCATGGCCCATCAGGTATAAACGCAGAATACCTGTCCTTTGTCGTTCAATACACGAGTTTGAAATGTAGCCTCACTTTTAGTAGCAGCCCATCAGCTTAGGAAGCAGTTGACCTCATATTCATTGTGGTCTATGGCACCACTTTGTACCTCTCATTTCAGACGCTGGCCACCAACGCTTACGCCAGATGCACCTTACAGGCGTTGGTGTTCATCACATGTGCAGCGGATTATTTTGAGGACGGAGATGCACTTCTTCTGAACAACGTGATGCCATTCCTATCTGAAGATGTGGTCGCTGAAATCTCGGTGGTCGCCGTATCATTAAAAAATGCCGGTCTCTTCGTTTGCTTCACGGCCGTGATCATCCTGGCCATCGCAAGCAGATGCAACAAGAATGGATATGATGCTCGTTGAATTCAAGGAGGTCATAGGTATACAGAGTAGTCTAAAGAGTATATAGAAGATTTATAGAAGTGTGCAATGGAAGTCCGCTCATGACTAAATCTCCTCTCCTTTCATTGGACATCAAAGCAAGACCAAGGACGCCTTGCGCAGCTAGCGAGACCACACCCAGAAGAGCCGAGAAGCGACGGCGGCGGCCTTGCGCAGCTGTGTGACGTTTCGGGGGTTCTCCAAGGGAACGACTGCAGCTGCAAAGATGCAGCGACAAACATGTGCGCACAAGTCAGGACGGTAGTTTTCGACGGCCCTTTTTCGAGAACGCTTTCGACTGCCGTTTTCGACTAGGCAGCCTAGTTTTGGATGCGTTTTGGCCAAAACTTCCGCTTGTAATTCGAAGGGCTACGAGGGGATGAGGGAGCTTTTTTCCCTCTGACATATAGGTAGGCGGTATTTAAGGCCATCTCACTTCGCCCGTCCTTCACTGTGCGCCGCATATGGCATATGCGCGGAACATCACTCAATCCCAATGTTGCAGAAAGATCCAATTTTGGGGCCAGATGCTTGAGATGCCAAGAGCAGACCCCCTCTATCCTCTCACCATGTCCTTTTAATGGCGCTTGATGTGTCCACGTCGTGGACGTGCGAAAGGAGCCGATTAAAGCATTGGCTGCTCGCCACGCTGGAACATTCAGTGTTGAAAAATGCTTGCAAAGTACTCTCCTTACAACAAACCTTGGAAGACTTCTTCAATATCTTTGAATACAGGTTTGTCCACTTCCATGTTTTGTTGGAGAGAGGGTAGGCACTTGCAAGGGAAAGCTTTGCCACTTGATTCTGCGGAAGAGTGTGACACCGCTGACTTGACACTGCCCGGCAACGCTAACCATGCACCAGGTTTCAGTATGTTTCCGTTGATGCAGCTGTCCCTGGTGTTTTGGCTAAGTGGCTTCAGCGCTGCAAAATGGCCCCTGAACCTGAAGGCCCTTTCACCCTCGTCAACGCTGGACCTGTAGTTCCGCAGTGTTCGGCGGTCTCGCCGGTGGGACATGCGAGACGCGTAGGTCCCATGACGTGCGGCTCGCAGGTTCTTCACGAGACATGCTGGACATGGGGTTTGCGGATGCTAGCGGAGTAGAGATTGCAATAGAAGCAGCACAGGCTGGGACAAGAATCCGGCGTGCAACATTGACACCAGTGACAACTCAGTGACAAGCGTTTCCGGAGTGCAACTGCTCAAAACACCTCGAGATCTGTAAGAACGAAAGTACCTAGCTAAGCATTACCAACTCCTCGGATATGCTTGGTGCTTCCATGATTGTAGCTGCTTCTTTGCAACTGATTGGGCTGGCTCAGCTTCCTGTGGTGGAAGGATCTTGGTGCCAGGCTTCATCCTTTGGCAGCTGCCTTGGGCAGCGCCACGATTTTGAGAAAAAGGATTTGCCCCGCTTGCATGGGGGTCGCTACCGGAACCTGCGTTTTGCGGACTGGGATGGTGATGGTGACACCGATGTGTTGGCAGGGCATGGCCCAGGCGAGTCAATCTGGTTTCATGAGCGGCTGTCAAACGACAGCTTCCGTTCGCATGAGCTGGGCAAGATTCCCAAGAGATGGCATGCAGAAGCTTGGGACTAATCAGGTGTGTGAAAACTTGTTCTAGCGTGTGAAATGTTGAATGCCGAGAGGCTCAGCAGAGAACATGTTGGACATTCTTACAATTCGGCGCGGGTTTTGGTCACACCCCGGTCCTGAGGAAAGTGCAACTGTAGCTGAAGGTGATGATTGGCTGGCACAACAGCAGTTGGCGGTTGATGAGTTTATGAAGAACACCTTTCGTGTGGAAGTGGCGGATTGGGACGGCAATAAGGAGCCTGATTGTTGGGGTGTGTGGGTGTTTGTTGGAGGATGAGGATGGTGTTTGGCAGTGCGACTTCTGGTTGTAAAGGTTTTTGCATGGTTTTACACACTTCTAAGCCCGGATCCATGAGTAAAAGTTACCTTGTTGTTGCTGTAAATCTTGGTGAACTACAGAAGTGCAAACGGGCCCTGTTGGTTTTCTCCGTTCTGGGACTTTTTCTCATCCAAGTCGGTGGGTGACGGTGTCACTTCTTGCTTCATGGGAATTGGGTCCTGCTGGGCGTTACGCTTGGATCCTAAGCCCAGCATTCGCATTCCTACACCCCACACGGACACCTTCACCTTCAGGAGCATCCTACACTGAGGGCAGGTCCGACCATTTGGGGGGGGCAAATAGGAAAACCCTCCGGTTTTTTTTGGCGAAGTAGGTTCCCTCTACAAGAGTCCACGCCTCCGCTGGGTTTCTGGAAGAAAGGGGTCGAAAACAGAGGGATGTTTGATGTCAGACATGTTTGCTTTCAGATGTTTTCAGTGTAGAGCCGCGCCTTTCAGCAGCCGCGATGTTTGAGGAACTCGACTTGCTGCTGTGCACCATGGTGGACGATCTAGTGATCGTGAGCGTGCTCAATCGCTCGAGCCTTCCGCATGAAAACCTCACGGAAGTTGAGCGCGTGATTCTGTTGACTCATGGGTCAGCATGTGACATGCTGGCCGTGGATTTTGATGATGATGGTGATGTGGATCTCATTCTTGGTCATCATGCGTATCAACCGAGATATTCCAGATACTTTGAGCGCATCTCTTCCGGGCAATTAGTTGAGCGCACGGGAGATCAGAATCCACTTGACATGTTCAACGACACGATACGAACCATCGCCGATCTTGACGGTGATGGACAGTTGGAAGTGATGACCACCGGTTGGGTGGACAAAGGCTATGCCATTCAAGTGATTCATTTCGGCTACTTTCATCGTACAAGTGACGGTAGCTTTGTGGAATCAGCTGAGAACCCATTGTTTGACCTCAACCTTTGGGATCCAGATGAATATGCCACAGAAGCTCATGTGGCAGATTGGAATTCAGATGGTTTGCCAGACCTTTTGACCATACATGTGGGCCGCTACCTTCCGCAACGATCTTACGGTTTGGCGGACTGCTATGAACATGTTCAAGACCGCGACCTTGTGCAGAATTCGCAGATCGACACCTATAGAGACATTAAACTGGCATCCTTTGGAAAATCCATGCATCCTGTGGTGGTTGACTGGAATCACGATGGTTTTGAAGATGTGGTGGTCGTGGACTATGTGCTGGGCTGGGGGGAGGGGGAGATCGTGTCGAAACAGCCGAAACTCTTTGAGTTCCATGGTGACAGTGTGCACGAAGTAAGCGGTGTCTTTGACAATGTTACAGAGAGCTTCTGGGCGGTAGTTCGGACTATGTTTTTGTTTCCATCTCTTCGTGTCCCTAGATCAGTATACGAACGATCGGTACTAGTTCTGAATGTTTCTTCCAATCGACTGTGTTGTTCAAATGGTGACCGTGTGCACCCGCACCCAGGCTTTCTCGGTGAAGAGATGGTGAGCCTAGCCATTGCAGACTGGGACACCGACGGCGATTTAGATCTCATCATATCCTCGACAGATGGCAAGCTGCACTATCATGAGATGGTCTTGGGAGGTTGGCAGAAAGAAGATCCAGACCATCCCTTCAAGAGCATCGTGCTGGGCCAAGAGGAAGGAGGTCAGAAGAAGTTGGTTCAGCCTTTGGTGCTTGATTGGGACAATGATGGTGACATGGATTTGTTCTTGGGTCCGCCGGATGGTAGATATTTTGAGCAGCTGGCAGATGGTACTCTTCATGCATGGCCGCTAGAGCAAAGCCCTGTTCGGAAAGTGCTCAGTCTTCCGAGATTTGAGGACCGGGTGTGGAGATTTGTGGACTGCGATGCCGATGGTGATTTTGATTTGATCCGAGTGCTGTTGGACGACTATGTTCCTGTCAAAGCATGTGAGCATGACAGCGCACATGAGCTGCAATGTGACCATGACTTTCCGTGCTTGGGGACGAATCTCAGCCATTTCAATAGGACAGCAGGGGGGTCCTCTTGAGCACCTCTCGCTAATCTCGCTAGACTTGGGGCTTTTGACAGATGGCTGGCTCAAATTCATCACCTGGCACTTCGGTCGCGGGTTGTTGATGTGGAGTGCAGGCTTTTGCTCTCCAGCCGACTCATGCCACCAGGGAGGCTATTGCTTTCCCAGGAAGACACATTGTAGCTGCAGCGCCGGTCGCGAGCTAGGCGATTGTTCTGGCTGCGAGCCGCAGTTCTACAGTGTTCCAACGGTGATTGGGCAGATGCATGACTGCAAAGCATGCCCAGGAGAAGGTGACAAGGTTTGTTCTGGTCGAGGAAGCTGCTTTGATGATGAAACTGCGAAGGCAGCTCCTTTGGAGTCCACAGCTGCTTCAATGGCCAAAGGAAACGGATCCTGCAGTTGCAACGAGGCCCACTTCTTTGGAAGTGATGATGAAGGCCGAAGCACCTGCGTGGAGGGCGTGTGCCCAGCTGGCACCGAAGAGCAGGATGGACATTGTCGCGCTTGTGCAGCAGGGTCCTTCTCCCCAGCAGGAGGGCTTTGCAAGCTTTGCTTTCCAGGGACCTTCTCGTTGCCTGGAAGCGGCCACTGCTCGAGGTGTGCACCAGGCTCGGTCTCCAAAACATCCGGGGCTTCAGGCTGTGATGCATGTCCGGCAGGCACATATGAGGTTGATCATCAATTGTGCAACAAGTGCCCTACAGGCTTCGTTTCAGCAACAGGTCAGAGCTCATGCGCCAAATGTGGCGCCGGCTTGCATGCACCAAAAGCAGGCAGTATCCTTTGTGAGCCCTGCAAAGCTGGCACTTATGCAGGTGAAGCCAGTCGGAAATGCAGTGCGTGCCCTCCAGGTTCGGTGTCCGGTGCAGCTCAAGGTGCTTGCAGCCTTTGTGAGGCGGGCCGTTTTGCCAGAGCCTCCGTCACATGTGACCAGTGTCCTGCTGGAAGCTGGTCCGGCGCAGGAACCATTGAATGCCGAAGCTGTATTCCAGGAACGTTTTCGTTGACAGGAAGCAGCAACTGTTCCCATTGTTTACCAGGAAGCGTCTCAACTGCAGGGGCTCTCACTTGTGATGTTTGTCCTGCAGGGAAGTACGAAGTCAATCATCAGCTGTGCAGTGTTTGTCCATTGGGCACAATCTCAACTGGAGGAAGTGACGCATGCAGCCAGTGCGAGGCTGGTCGGTTTGCCAAATCGTCCCAAACCTGTGAACCGTGCCCTGGCGGGACCTTTGCAAACAAAGGGAGTAGTTCGTGCAGCTCCTGTCCGGTGGATCATGTGTCAAGCCCAAACAGTGCCGCGTGCACCAGCTGCGAGAGCCTCTTCATCCGCACCAGTCCTGATGTGATGAAACAAAGCTGCCAAGTGCGTAGCATGGAGATTCTGCTGGCTCTCATTTGTTGGGTCACATCCTCATGTTTTTGCCTCCTGTGTTGGACCGGTGTTCTTGGCCGAATTCCACTGTCCGATTTGTCAGCTCAAGGGCAGAAGCTTGTGGTCACCACTTCTGTGGCACATTTTCTCTTGGATTGGGCACGCCCAGTGGTGACTTTCTCGGGCACGGGAGTTCCTCACTTGGACGAATCGACAGGTCCTTGGACCGTGCAAGCCTTGAATCTATATCAGGTGAGCCTTCAGGGCAGTACGTCGAGTAGTACGTCGCTGGACACGTCAACTGGGCATTTGCATCTGAAGTTCCCACAAGTTTTGCTGTCAGTAGGTCTATGGCGCTGTCCCCTTCTTTGGTGGTGCATACTTTTTCTCGCAGCAGCTGCAGGCACTGCCACCCAGCTTACGTTGCTGGTGTGCGGACTAGGCTTCGGCACAGGCTCATTGTGTATGGTCTTGCGGCGCAGGCGAGAGTTCGGAGTCCGACCATGGCCCCTTCCTCATCACGCATGTTTGTGAAATGATCACAAATTGGAGCGCCTAGATAAGAGGAGGATTAGATGAGACTTCTTTGAAGTTCATTGAAGTGACGAAACTTCTTTGAAGCCCATAAGCTGTGCCCAACACGTATGCATATGTTGGCTTTGCAGTGTTTAGGGAGCATCCACTGAAGATATCTTACATATGCTATATTATTATGCTACCATGTGCAAAAACACAAAAAAACATGGGGCACGAACACGCATGTGTTCTTATGCAGCGATGCAACAGGTCGGATGCGTGCGTGCATGTTCATATGTCAAGACGCGCTCGTGTTTGAAGATGCTGAATTGAAAGCCGTGTATTCATCTAACTGGACCTTTGATGACCTTTGAGTGTGTTTTTAACTATTTTGGTGTTTTACGTTTGCCATAGCAAGTGCTTTTATTGCATTGAATTGCGTTCCACGTGCCCCCCATTGACCAAGAAAAACGTAGTTCTTAGCGGTTTCTGGGGCCAAGGAAATCCAAACAAAACATCGGTTTCGCTCCACATGCCTTGCAACAAATCCAACCTTTGAACTGACGGAAACGCTGGAAGGCAAGGCAAACGCACGCCTTTGGCGACCCGGCGGCGGCACTTTCTCAAGGAGTGGCCCTTGGTGTTGGAGCGCTGTAGCCGTGGTGAGGAGCGTGCGATGACCGCAGGGACGCTGCTAGACTTTGTGCAGTGGCGTGGAGGAGCAGCGAGGAAGTCGTTTTGAGTTTTGGTGGTTTGACGTGGCGCTCGTCCACCCTGACATAGATGAGGAATGGTCAAAGGTCAAGATTCACGTGATGGTAATTTGGGGCAGGCTTATGGCAGTGTTTTCTTTCGAGCATGGAAAAGAGCCCCTCACCCCCCCATGTGAGTCACCATGTTGGAATCCTTCATGATGTTCGCACCCGGAAGGGGCCATTAATTCAAAATCCACCTGAGACATCGTATCTCGAATTGATATCCAGATGCTTGGCGGAGCTGTAGGGTAGCGGAATAGGTGATTCATTGGTGTGCCATCTCCGGCAACTCTCTTGCAGGTTCTTCGAAAGCTTTATCAGGGAGCGTTCCATGTACTACGTTTGCTCAAACATTGTGAAGCCCCTCACCGAACCATATCAGCTTTCTCTCGTGGAACTGGTAGGTCCAACGATGATCCAATGGTTTGTGAGTCATTACTGGGGCATGCCCGTTCGTCATTTCAGTGATGCCATACGCAAGCACGCCCAGAGCTACCACGGAGACTGGCGAGACGCAGCTTATTGGATTTGCACCTTCAGTAACAGCCAGTGGCATGTCAAGGAGGAGCTTGGGCATGGACGATGGCAGGATTCATCCTTTTACCTCGCATTGAGATCTCCAGAATGCAAAGGTACTACCATGATTATTGATGAGCTGGTTTTGCCTCTACAGTGGCCTAGTTTTGCTTAGGGCAATGTTTTATGCTCGCCGTGGGTGAACCCCTGTTTTGGGAAATACTTGAGTTGTGTGTTTTCCATGTGAGTCCCTGCTTAAGCAAATCCCAGGCGGATTTGGTGCCTTTTTGAGGTCTACCAAACCATTTGCCTGACTCGAAGCAGCCACTTTCATGGTTTGCTTCTTTGCACTTCCTCGGGTGTCTTGCAACAGGGCAAAGCCGGCACTGATGTTGCTGTGGCCGTCGCCCAGACCGTTGCGACACTCGACACTCGAAGTGCTGTAGCATCGGCAGAGGAAGATCGGCAGATGATCCATTCCCTGATTGAGCAAATGCCAGGACTTGGATGGGGCCTGAGTTTGTGACCAACGGTAGTTTTGGGGAGCCGTTTTGGTTCACGCGGGGGGCAGGGTGAACCCCTTTGCAACTGGAAAGAGGAGGACTGCACCCTGAGTGTGCAACAAAGAAAAAGAAAGGACGGGTAAGTATCATAGTAAAAGTCAAGGGGAAGCCGGGCAAGAACGAAAGGAAGGAAAGGAACGCAAGGTTAGGGAACAGAAGCACCAGAAAGGATAAGAACGGAAAAGGCAGGGACAAGAAAAGACAAACATAAGTGAAGGCAAACCTTTGAAGGAAGGACAGTACCTAACAGATGCTAGAATGAAGCAAGCAGCAAGGGAAGGAAAAAGGAAGAGGCACCAAAAGGAAATGAATAAGCCTTACCCATTATTGAAAAATGACAGCCTCAAAACGAATAAACAAGAAATGCCAACAAAGAACAGGACAGGAGCCTCTCTCCCCTTTGTTCCTCTCTCGTTTGCTTTTTCTTCTCTCCTCTCCCCCAAGCCCAGCGCCCACCATGCTAGAGGAAAACACGCAAGACTGTTTGTACCTAGAGTGCCACTTGGGAATAGGTGCAGAAGACAAAATTCCATGGAGTGTTGCTGGCAGGAGGTTTTGACACAATGAACACCTTTGTATGCGATACAATTTGCAATGCATTGGAAGCATCCCACTTGCACTACGAAGCTTGGTTTTCTTGATTGGTTGATGCTCCCCAAGCTGGTGAACCCCTAAATCTACGGAAGATGGACTCTAAAATCACATTGTGTTTTTTTCATATTGTTTAAAGTTTACGTGTCGTTTCTAGGTTCTTGAGTCACAAATCTAAGGAAAGCACACTCAAGAACTTGATGCAGAACTTGAGGTTGCGGGTTGCTCCTACCTCCTCAGTTTCCTCGCCACCAGTGGCGTTTTTGCCGACACTTCTCACCAGTGGTGCTAGCAGTGCCAAACTGCCAGCAAGTAAGGAGGGTAAGGAAGGTACCAGCTAGCAATTGGCATAGCCAAAATGCTGCAAGAATATCATAGAAATACTATGAAATACTTATGTCTTATGTAGATGTCCGATTCATCCGCACAATCATCGACGATGCAGATGCAGCTCCAGGACACTTGAGTCCAGAGCTGCAAGATGTGCCATATTTGAGTTGCATCACACGAATGCACTCCAATCCCTTTCAGTGCAACCATATGCATCGCTTGCGTCGCCTGTTGTATAGTGAATTGGGCTTGCTTTCGACCGGCCGCCCTCCGCCGCCGTGTTCGCCTTGAAGTCCGAACGCTATAGAGTAGGACAAGGAAGCTGAGCACGCAAGCTTAGGCGTGGGTCCTGTTTGTGTTTTGTTCGTGAGCCTGGTCACTGATCGCACCTGTTTTGGGGGAGGCCTCGGTTTCCGGTGGGTTCTTGATTGGAAAGGCAGCAGCTTGAGATGAAAGGATCGGCCCAAGACCATTTTGGTGAGTGCTGCAGGTACAAGTTCAAGAAGTTCAATTTAGTTGGGGTGTCACCGTGTCAAGTCTAACAGACGACCTGTGACTTCCATCGCCAAGGCCAGATCTCGCCTTTGGCGGCCAAGGCCAATCTGCAGTCGGGGGTCTCGACCTGCGGGACGCTGCGTGGACGCTGGACGCTGGCGGCCGGGGGGGAGGTGGCTGCTTTTGGGTGGGATGGAATGGGATCCTCATGATGTGGGTCACTGTGACAGTGGAGTTCGGCAATCTTCCCAAGAGGACATGACAGAAGGTCGGATCAGGATAGACCAGGTGCTTAAAAAGAACGGGGGTTTGACATTTGTGGAATCATGCAGCTATGGCAAATCGATGGCAGGTGCTGAACGGATTCGGTAGTAGGGACTGGATCGGACTGGCCAGCATTCAGGATTCGAGACCTACTCACCATACCATTTGAGCATCTAACTACTGAAGATTCCAGTCCACTTGATTCCACACTGTCAGCTTTACAGCTTTGCCAGCCGTTTTGGAGTTGATGAAGCTGTGTCCTTCGCAGGGTTCATGGGCACCCGGACCCTGGCAGCACCCGCACCCGGACCCGCGCGGCACCGATGGGTGGGGCGCGCCGCTCGTACGGAGCGTTTTGGACGGCGGATGGATGGAATGAGGCCGGATGGCTGTTGGTTCGGCAAATACACCTACGAAAGGTGTTGCAGCAGCCCGGAGGCGTGGAACCTGTTCGACGAAGAAGGTGTGGAACTTGTCTTCTCTCGAGTGAGAGATATCTCCGAGTCGTGAGTCATCCGAGATGAGTTGCTCCAAATTCCGGCGGGACTCGACTACTTGGGGGTGACCAGCCAAAAGGGATGAAAAAGGAGATCGAACAAGTTTAGGACGAAGGCAAGTCGGAGTTGGAGTTATTTATCGGAGTTTTGAGAGCTCAGTGTCGACTGAGACCCCATGTTCTATTCGTTGGAGTTAAATGGGTATGTCTGAGAACGGGCACCTTGGACTTTTCGGACTTCTCTTTCAGAGGCCTGTATAGTTTTGGCAAACCCACGGGAATATTCACTAGGAAATGGGGGACCCCCTATAATTGCAACCCCAGCTTCCTTTGGAACTCACCAGTGGATGTTTTTCCATGTTGTTGCATGTTGTTGGGCCTGTAGTTCTTGTTTTGCACTTTTCCATCTCCTGAGTTTGGAGCAGTGAGTTTGAGGAGTTTGGAGTGGGATGGAGTGTTTTTTTTGTTGGGGCAAGTGAGTGCTAAAACCCCGGACCGGCCAAGCAATGCCTGGCTTGGAGAATTCAGCCAGACCACCTCAGAAGTTTCCGCTAGTGGCCGATGGGAAGGATTTGGTACAACCCTATGCATGTATAGACATCCCCGAGCTCCATGTGACGCTGCAGTTGGCCATCTAAGGGGATGACGGGACTCGTTTGGTTGATCCACCAAGTTGACTCACCTGTCGAAGCACCAAGAACTGAACCCAGACCTGGTGTGTTTAGGATGGTTTAGGCGATTTGGGCATGCTGGAGGTGGTCTTATCATGTCTTATCCATCAGATGGATGGACCCATTTGCACCACCTGGACTCCCGCCTCTTCAGAACATCTTCCGGTCACCAACGAACTTCAGATCCCAGCATGATCCTCTTTTAGTTGCTATGACCCCCACACAAGTGTATATGAGCAACCTGATTTATTTACGGAAAGCTATTTAGTAAAGGACCCGACATTGGGATTGCAGAATTTGCATTTTACTTGGAAAACGATAATACACTCATCAAAAAACGATAACATATTGAATCATATTGATAGCATCATGTTTAATTATAGGAAAGCTTAGTTTGCATAGCTGCAGTGCAGCTTTTTAACCATGAAGACCATCAGGGAACCTCGTTTCTGCTTAGTGTAGCCTTTCCCAAACCGTTTTTGACTTCGGACTTTGGCGACAGGTTTGTCCGAAATGTAGCTGTAGTCAAACGATAACCTAAACGATAACCAAACGATAACGTAAATGTAGACGAACCTGTGCTACGAAACCAGTGCCCCACCCAAACAAGCTCAAGACATGGCTGGTCTACTACTACTGCTGCTGCTGCTACTACTACTGCTTCTACTACTACTACTACTACTGCTACTACTGCTACTCCTACTCCTACTCCTACTACTACTACTACTAACTACTACTAACTACTACTAACTACTACTAACTACTACTAACTACTACTAACTACTACTAACTACTACTAACTACTAACTACTACTACTACTACTCCTACTACTACTACTACTACAACAACTACTACTACTACTACTACTAACTACTACTAACTACTACTAACTAATACTACTACTACTACTACTACTACTACTACTACTCTACTACTACTACTTCTTCTACTACTACTACTTCTACTACTACTACTTCTACTACTACTACTTCTACTACTACTACTACTTCTACTACTACTTACTACTTCTACTTCTACTAGTACTGCCACTACTACTGCTGCTGCTGCTGCTACCAGTACCACTACCACTACCACCACCACCACCACCACCACCACCACAACCACAACCACAACCACAACCACGACGACGACTACTACTGCTAGTACTGCTCCTCCTCGTCCTGCTGCTGCTGCTGCTGCCGCCACTGCGACTGCCATTGCTACTGCTACTGCTCCTACTGCCACTACCACTACTGCTGCTACTGCTGCTACTAGTACTACTAGTACCACTACTATTGGTACTACGACTACTACCACTACTACTGCCACTAGTACTACCACTACTACTGCCACTAGTACTACTAGTGCTACTAGTACTA